AAATGAGAAACTCTTTTGATTGATAGACTATTTTATAACCCTTTTAAAAGGTCAACAGCAAAACTGCAAGTCCAAAACATGAATTGAATTAAATCTAATTGTTACAAGGTAAAAAAATCTTAGAATTCGTTAAGGTAAAAAATAGAAGTCACCAAAAATAAATAAATAAAAATAAAGTGACCATAGAGGGAGTAAGAAAATGAGTTATACAGTAAGGTTTTTTAGAAGTCTATGGTACACCCATTTATGATCCCATTGCAGAGTGATTATTTGTTTAATCTATCCAACTATTTTATGTGAACAAGGTAAGGAATGAGAGATGATATGATTTAGTGAAGCTGCTTTTATTCTTCTTCAACAAATACGTTTCAGTTTGAAGAAACACATTTCATTAAGAAACTTTAAGATTTTATGAGAAAATTGTCTTAGAAGATTTCCTGAACATGGCACAAGATGACAACATATCAAGAAGCAACCACAAAAATACTTGGCGCTAGAGATGTATCCCAGTACTTGCATGTATACTGAGCATACTTGAGGCACTGGGTTTGATCGCTAGAACTAAAAAAAAAAAAACAATTTCATGTTAAAATTTGTCTTTTATGTAGAGTGCATATTGTTTACCACATCATAAGTCAGCTCTACATAACAAAATTAAGAATAATAAAAATGAATTATAGTTTCAAATATTACAACTAATGGTATTTGTGAAAGGAGTCAGAAAGAGAAGGAAAAAGAAAATTACAGAAGAAGCTTACCAACAAACCTGGTAGCCCTGGAGGACCAATTGGCCCAGGTATCCCCTTTGGACCAGCTGGGCCCTATAATGGAGAAAAGAGAAGGATGAAAGAAGCAATAAAACACAAATCTCAAAACTAAAGCCTCTAATCGTATCTTACAAAAAAATCCCTAAGTGCATGAAGTTTATGTTTATTTTAATATTTTTATTCATCTTAATGAGAAAAAAGATAAAATAGCAATGAAACAGTTTCAAAATAGGTTAGTAAGACAGTTATAAAAATTAATACATTGTATATTGTTGTCTTCATCGTACTTATTCAGAGAACAAAATATAGAAAAGATACCTTGTCTAAGCAATATTAGTACAAATCTTTCTTCTCAATGAACTAAGAGAAAGTAGTCATATATCTATCCTAACTATCTTATATCTACGTATATATACATATATAAGTGCATATATATATATACATATGTAT